GCGATTTTGCCAACATCCAAGTTTGTATTATACATGTCAGTCTCACACTCACATGATAATCGAGTTTATAAGAAAGGAGTATACAAAATACACGGAGAGATGTTTCCAATGTACTCAACAAGGAAATGGTTACTGAATTATGCATATATACACAGGCATGTGCCCGATTAGGCTCTATGTTGGATTCTGGGGTGCAGCCGAGGCATAGCAAACTGAGTTCCCTGTCCTGGCAGAACTTAGGAAACTTCTGCAACACACAATGTTAAGCGTTCTCCACTCATAAAAGCACAATTTTCCACCTCTCTCATACAATGCAGCAAGAAATTAAAACCAGGGATGAAAAATAAAGTTCAAAACACATGAGCTATACCTATGCGTTCCGTGAAACATAAGTACCATCCTGCTACAGTTGCTTCAAATATCAATGCAAGGCATGCCCAACCAATTTTATAATCATTAAAAATTCAAACATGTCTCTGGTTCAGCTTCCTAACAAAATGAGCCAGGACTCCTTAATAAATTGCCCTAATTTGCTCACCCATTCCTCACCGGGCCTCAGCCTTTACAGTTTTTCAGTACTACCATCCAAAAGCTTTCAGTAACAGTTTTCCCAAGGCCACATGGACACATCTATTTCCATGGGTCACCTCTCCAGAGACGCGTGATTTCACAAGCAGAAAACGGCAATTTTTTTATACTACATAACAAATTCTGAGTTAAACTAAGACTGTACATCATTAACCAACAGACTTAAATGATTGAACTGATTATATAAAGGGCCCTTTTATCTCTATCACAAAGATACCCTAGATCCTGAAAGGAAAAGTGGAGGAGACAGCTAAATCGGAACCTAGAGGGTACGGAACACACGGAAGAAAGTAGAGCTCGCCAGCAGCGCAGTGTGAGCAGGGTTAGGAGGCAGCACACTGGAGGAGGAGCCAGGAGCTCGGAAGGCTGCACCACAGGTAACCTAAGGAATGACAGGACTCCGTAGCGGTCTCATCACATGGGCTGGGTGTGCAAACCGTCCCTGGTTCCCAGAGAGAGAAACAGCATCTTCATTACTCCTGGATTCTGTATTCACAAACTCACCAACTTGATGATACTCACGGGGCTTCACAGGCGCTCACAGACGCACCGGAGTCCCAGAAGTCTATGCACCCAGCTGGGGTAACATTGCTCGATTCAGCCCGCATACTGTGAACAGGGGTCCTTCCCAGGCTGTATGTTGCCACGTTTTTCACATGCATGTGCTTTTAGTAGCGATTTTGCTATTTTACATGGCTGTCAGTGTACTGCTAAAGCGCTGTCTAGTATCCCTAAGCAAAAGGTTAGGGGTGACTTGCAAAGAAAATACTTGTGTTGGATAAGCTTTGTTCACACACAACTTATATTGTTAGCCTCGAGTTCAATGTCAATGAATCAACAACATATATTGGTGTTAAACAGAAATACACATCAAATATGATTATGTAATGAGTTGTCAAAAATGTTCTTGCCAGACTCATTTGACCCTAACCTCTTATTTTCCTAAAAGCAATGTTCAGTATTTACTAATTCAGTGTTTGCTATGATTTACAGATCATTACAATAGTGCAAATCAACTACTAATACTCCTTGTTTAACAACCAAGTCTCGTTCCTGCAACTAAGTTGTTCATTGAGTTAGTTGCTAAATGAGGAATTGTAGATAGTGTGTGCATTACAATATTCAGAACAAAGAAATGGTGAAAGGAAATTCCAACTTGATGACTTTGCTTTTATTTGTATAACTCTTCATGCAGTACTTTAATGTATAACAGACCATAAAACTATAGTACTGTACAGTACCATCAGTAAAAATTACAGTACTGTATAAACAAGGTGTACTGTACAAAAAAAAAGACCATGAAGCTCTTAGCAGCAAGACATACAGAACTATAAAAAAAAGAGAAAAAAACGGGTTGTAGGGCACCTCAGTCGTAAGTCCGAACATTCCTTAAACAAGGAATACCTGCATAAATTCACAGACTGAGAAGGCATTTGGAAACTGCTGTAGCAATTTGATATGACTATGGTATCCAAGCATGCGGTCATGCTCCTTGGTCATCTTCTTTTGTTGATTTTTAAAAACATCTGTTCATGACAAACTAGAAATTTTTGTAAAAAGCCTTCTTCCTTGATAGTCTAAGAAGCAATGGCCAGGCAACACATTGCAGAGAGCAGACGAGACCTGTTAGTATTAACAAAAGCAAAAGAGGCAGCCAAGAACTAAGGTGGCGGCAAGAGAAGAAATGGGTGAATTAAACCGGCAGAGGTGGAAGCAAAGGGAGTGCCAGGGAGGACACCCGTGTTTCCAGCCCGGGCAGGGCTGCAGGGTACCATTCTCAGACAGGAGCTTGGGGAAGGGAAGTCATGAATCCAGTTTTATAAATGCTGCGTTTCAGGTGTCTATGGAACACCTAGGCAAAGAAAGTCAGTAGATGCCAAAATCATTTTCACTAATCCTGACTTTTTGCACAAAGGTCTGATCAGATGGCTGGATCATGGAGGAGGAAGGGAGGAACAACAGATAACATCTGCACTCATCAGCAGGGGTGTCTCGGTATAACCTGAGGTATCTCAGCATAATGCAAACATGTTCCCAAGTGTGTTCTCTCTTCTGAAACAGAAATGCACTGGCTTCCTCACAGGCTTCCCAGAGGAAATTCAAACTGCTTTTCTGGAGAGCTCCCACTTACAGGAAAGCCCACACTTAGCGACGGCTGGAAGAGAGACAGCACGAAAAGTTCTGTAGGCTCAGTATGGAAATCATCATTAATCCTAATACTCATGAGTGAATGCCGTGTGCCAAACAGTAAATGATTTACACAGGTGAGCTTGTTTAATCTTCACAAAGACCCTAAGGTACACAATATCATAACCTCATTTTATAGGTGATGCAATTATTAGTTATCTATCTCACAGGGTTGTCAGAGTTAATTGAAATAATATATAAAGAACTTAGAACAGTACCTAATACAAAGTCAAGCTCAAAAACATATTATCTAATTTGTTTAACTGTACAGTATGATCAAAATTTACGGTGCTGTGTGAAATTGGTGGTTCACAAAATTGAATGCTTTCTTGAACAATATTCCAAGTGGGGCTCTTTTCTCTATCTTCATTATTCTGTCTAGTACAGTCTCTAACATGGGCTTTTGCAACAGCCTAGCTGTTCAGGCCCTCTGTGGTGTTGACTACACAGCTAGCAACAGTATTTACAAATGTCTCTCTCTCTTGCTTACAAGTTAATAGCTCCCTGATGCTCATAGAGAACCTGATCTCCTGCACATGACATACAAGACCCTTTATAACCTGGCTTTAATCTCTACTTCAAATTCACTTCTAGTCACGTCTCTGAAGAGCTAGTGCCACAGCACATGATTCACTGTGTCCAGGACATGATACTGAACTTTAAGAGACTGCAGTCCACTGTATGTGCTTTTCTTTAAGTCTGAGAAAATTGTCCTCTGCACCCGCAGGTCTAGAAAACTATTCGTCCTTTAAAGCCTGGATGAAATGCTACATTACTCATTTATTCAGAAGAAAATTTATCGAAATACCAAAATGTGCCAAGAAAAATGGTGTGAAAATAAAGATTAAACAAGACACAGTGAAACAACATTTAGAAAGACATGTTAAACTATGAGTGGCATGTATAAGAGAAGAAAGTGATGCTCAGGCTGGGTTCCATACAATACAGATTTCTGCTCTATACCTACTATTTCTAAACTGGACCAAGATCTTGACAACTACTTTTCTTGTTGTTTCATTTTGTTTTCTAGTACTGGATATTGAATCCAAGGTCTTCACAATGATCTACAAAGCAAGCCTTGTTTTTCTTTTCTTTTTTATATTTTTGGTACTGGGGATCAAACTCAGGACCTTACACTTGCAAGGTGGGTGCTGTGCCCCTGAGCTAAATCCCTGGCCCTTTTCATTTTTTATTTTAAGACAGGGTCTCACTAATTTGTCCAGGCTACACTTGAACTTGTCATTCTCCTACCTCTGCCTCCCAGAATGCTGGCATTACAGGCAGGTGTCACCATGCCAAACAACAACTACCTTTTAACAATACTCAGGATATTGTAGTATGGTCCAATCTGTCCTCCCTGAAACTGTAATTGTAAAGGAGGAATTTATTCATCCTTTGTGTCCACAATACTTAGAAGTTACTGTAACAAAAAGACACCAATGTTCACTGAACTGAACTGGAGAAACAGGTTTCCATAAACTGGAAGCCTTCTTGACTCATGATGTAATTGATCCATAATGGCAAGTGAACCTTAGAACTTACTCAATATTTATAACAAGGACTGGAAAGTAACAATACAGTAGTTCCCGCCTGGGATAAAGGGCTGGGGATGTAGCTCAGTTGGGAAGGCCTTAGTTTCAATTTCCAGTACCGGGGCTGGGACAGAGCCAGAAAGAGGGGTTAGCTCTGTCAGTTTTGTGAGAAGCGGCTAGCACAGAGGGAAGCGACTGGTCGGCGGGAAGTCAGGGATTGGCTATCATTCCTTGTAACCTAAAAAACCGATGGTAAGAAAGCAGGTAAGAAGCAGCACGTACATCACGGCTGAAGGTCTCCAAATGTAACAACTTATTATGAAGGGTCTCTAGGAAAGACTGTTGTCAAATGCCACTTATTCATCCAGCTTTCAAGGTACACAGTGCCACCCTTCCCCCTCACCTCTTTTGGCCTTCTGCTTCTCGTACCCCGAGACCTATTCTACTCCTGTAAACCCAAAGGGGAGAAAACCCTCCTTCCTTTTACCCTTTACGAATTTCTCGGTAACAGTGTCTCTCAAGCCCTCACGAATGACGGCAACCCTACACAGGTACTGAGTAAGGCCCGGAAACTCAGGCTCAGATGACAGCCGCCTCTCTCTGAACGCCTTCCCGGCCGCGCCGAGACCCCGGGAGCAAACGCGCGCAGCCCCACTCCCGAGCTCGTCCCAGAGCACAGCCCTGGTACGTTACCTCCGCTGTCCGAAGCCTCTCTGACTTCATCGTCCAGCTCCGAGGCCACAGCCCTGGATACCATTTCTATCTTCCTCTTTTTCAGGGACTTCTTCAGGTTTTTCCCCGCACGTACACGTGAGTCTTGCATGGCCGCAGCCATCTTGCCTGGCCGGAAGTGTTCATCAAGACTTGTACGGCTAGCAACGAAAGGAGCTTCCGCATCGAGTTCCGGAGATACAAGGTTCCGCTGAGCAATTTTCAGTATGTGAAGGCCGAAGAGACGTCTGAATTCCCAAGGGTCGTGGCGTGAAGTCGGTTCCAAGGTAAAAATCATTTTAAACGGACAGTCTCAGCCATCTCGGGCTAGCCGTGTCTGGCCGCCCCAGACCGGCCGCTTTCCTCTCTCGTCGTTTGTTTCCTACGGGCGCCGGTGCAGAGCACAGCGGGGGAGCAGCAAATGCTCTCGGGGCAACGGCGCTTCCGGCGGCGCCTAGCTGAGACGTGGGGTTTCAGGGACTCTGTTTCCCCTAATATGTTGGCTTCCTGAAGACAAAGGACCATATCCCATTTCATATTGTACCCCAAGGGTAGCCATGGGACTTGATCTGTAGAAGAAGCTCGAAAAATATTTTGGAATGAGTAAGTGAAAGACAGTGCAGCTGTTGACGTGGTTAGTGAATCAGACAAGCAAAGGCAAGCTTGTAGGCCAAGCATGTTCAAATGGCTTTCCCTGAATTTAATAAAGTGATGCTTCGTTTTTAACACTTAAAATTCCTTAGAAAGAAAGGGGAGAAAAAAGAATCTTAATTTGGACAGACTGCATATTGCTTGATGTTTGTATAAGATATAAGTATATATTTACATCCTACAAATACATATTAAAATGAAAAGCATGCAGATAAAATGACGTTCTAGATACAGTTGGTGAAAGATCAAATGGAAAAGTGCAATAATGGTCAACCAAAGAGGAGCGTCTGGTGGTGGCCCTAGGAGAAGGCAGATATCCAGAGGCTCTCACCATTCTGCCCAGTGTGGTGCTTTCAGTGTGCTGGTCCTGAACCTGTTTCCTGCTGTCTTGTGTTTGCCTAGTGTTACATAAGGAAACCAACTTGACAAAGCATCGAAGAAAATTATAGAGAAGGAAGTAAAGAAGGAGAGAAAACATTTCAGTGGTACAATGGAAAAGATGTTCCTACCTATGAAACATGGTGTTCCTGTGTCAATTTGTGAATAGTGTTTGGTGATCAGGAAGTGATATTTTGGTCATTTCACATCCTAATAGTTCATATATAAGAATTGTGATGTATTCAATTGCAGCTTAAGAAATTGCCACAGAGACTGAGAGGAGAAAGAGAGAGAGAGATGTAATGTGTTACACATTCAAATTGTTCTTCAAATTAATATAACATAGACCTAGAATTTTATTCCCAGACATCTGATTTTCAGAAATGGATTACTTCTGTTAAGGGAGAGAGATACTTGTGTTATTTAATTTTCATAGTGAGCCAGTGCGTTAGCCAATAAATGGCAGAAGCACACTCAATCTTAAGTCCTCTGCTCCAGAGTTTGCTCAACCACTGAGTTATAAAGCCTACTCAAGTTGTTATTCTATAGTACAGTGATACCTCCCTTGTCGAATGGCTCCAAGCTCAAACTTTCCACTACTTGAACAACAAAGCTAAAAAAATATTTGCTCCGTGTTTGTAACTTTCCTTGATAGTTGAACCAAGAATTCGGTTTGAAAACACCTGGATGGGGCTGAGAGTGAGTCATGCATTGTTTCCCACCATGGACACAGAGGGGTGACACTGCAGTCTTAAGCACCACTGTTGCCCAGACAACATATAGTGCTTGTGTTAATGTGTTAAAATGTTCATCTTTGTGTTTTTTATTTTTGTGCTTTATTTGCATAAAATATTGTAAACATGGCTCCAAAGAAATTTAGTGATCCTAGCAGGAAAGTTAAGAGGAAAACTGTGAGTACCACAATAGAGTTAAATAAATCATTGTGAAATTTGTTAAGGTCCCAGAAAAATGAATTTATAAGTGTAATTTTTGGGCCTCGGAACCAATTATTTGGTTTTATCATTGTTTCTTATGGGAAAAATGTGTTCCATTTTCAAACTTTTTGGTGCTCAAACATGAATTTGGAATGAACTGAGTTTGACAACTTAGGTATCACTGTACTTAAAAGCATATAATAAGAATAGACAATGGAAACTTCTCGTAAACTTTGGGATTTGTAAATTAGGAAACAAATCTTTGCCCTTACAGTGATCCAAAATAATTGATAAGATTATAACAGAATTTCCCCCATGTTATGGAAATAACTGAAGTCACCTATGTGCACACGTGATAGTTTTATTTAAAAAGCCTGTGCTAGTTATCAGCTTATTGCCTCTCCACTCCAAATTCACTATTTTTGGCTGCTCTGTGAAAATGTAGCTGGGTTCTTTTAATATTTTTCTTTACCTATCAGCCAAATGTTAAACTTTTATCAGTAGAGGACACTGTAAGAAGAAAAGACCTTCCTCTGAGTTTCAGTGCCCATCTCTCCAGACTCTAATAGAGGCTTCCCAACCTGAGACTCTTGAAGTGGACATGGATTTTCCAGCACCAGACCCGTATAGCTCAGATGACTCCTCCAGCATCTGACTCCTGCAGTACACAGCGGTCAGATGTAGCAGTCAGCAGCTTCCCCAGCAACCTTCTCATACAGTTTCCTACAGAGTGCTTTCCAAAGGACACTTGCCCTCCGCAGTTGTCCTCAGCACTTTTCTGTAGAAAGTGAGTTGATTCTAAAATTCACATGGATCTCAAACAGAAAAAGAACTTCGAAAAAGAACCAAGTTGCAGGACTAAGTCTACCTGATTTCAAGATTTGTTACAAGCCTACTGTAATCGAAATAATGCAGTGTCATGTCAAGATAGACAAATAGAACATCTGAATGGAGTAGAAAGTCATGAAATAAAGACAAACAAATAGAAAACTGATGACTGACAAAGGTACAGCATCAATTCAGTGGAGAAAGGATAGTAATTACAACAAATGTTACTGGAGCAACTGGATATCTACATTGTTAAAAACTATGCTTCAATCTATACCTCACATGTGTAAAACTTGGCTCAAAATGCAATACGCCTAAACATAAACATGCAACTATAAAGCTGTAAGAAACACTAAAGTAAATCATTGTGCCCTTGGTTAGACAAAGATTTCTTAGGTACAATACCAAACACATGATTCATGAAAGAACAAGTTTAAAATTTGGACCTCATCAAAATTTAAGATCTGCTCTTTGAAATACAGTGTTTAGAGAATGAAAGGACAAGCTTAGGGTGGGAAAAAGTTACAAATATGTCTGATAAAAGATTACATCTAGGATATACAAAGAACACTCAGAACTTAATATTAAAAGATACTTCATCAAAGGAAATGCACTGCTGACAAATAAAGACCTGAAAAATTGTTCAATATCATTAGTCACTAGGAAAATGTAAAGTGAAAAATAGATGTGACTTTACACCATTTAGAATGGCTAAAATTAAGACCAGTCATTCCAAGTACTGTGAAGAACCTGGAACTCATACACTGCTAGTGAGGATGTTAAATGGCCAATCACTTGGCAAACAAGTTGACAATTTCTAAAAATAGTAAATGAATATTCATAGCAGCTTTGTTTATAATGCTAAGTATATTAGTCACCTTCTTGTCTATCAATTCACAGAACTTAAAGAAAAAAAGAATTATTTTTGGCTCACAGTTTCAGTGGGTTCAGTCCATGGTTTGGCATCTTCAAAGCAGAAATGGCATGGCAGAATGGCATGGCAGAGGAAAGCTATTCACAGCATGGCACCCAGGAAGCTGAATTAAGGAGAAAGGAGCTGGGAATGAGAATATGCCCTTCAGTATTACACCTCCAGTGAACCACCCCTTCTAATCAGACCCCATCTCCAAAGGAGAGAATTTTGAGGAACATTTTGGATCTAAACCATAACACTAAGCAACTCAAATATCTACCAGCAGCCAAATGGATAAGCAAACTGTGGGACCCCCATACAATGGTGAACTAAGCAATGAAGAGGCATGAACTATTTATTGATCTACAAAACAACAGGAATGAATCTCCATATACATCTGTCAGACCCCTTCAAAGGTATATACTCCATGAATCTGGTTATATTAAACTCTAAGAAAATGTAAACTAATCTATAGCAACAGAAATAAAATCAGTGTTTGCTAATGGGGAAAAAGGATTTAAGAAGGTCATGAAGGAGTAGGGTTATCAAAAGGCACATGGAAACTTTTTGAGTGATGAACAAAATTATTATCTAGATCAGAGTACTAGTTTCACAGAGCATACATATGTGAAAACTTAACATGGCATACTGAAGTATGTGCAATTTATTATATAAATCAATTATGCCTTGATATATCTGATACAAATTTATACACGTGATTAAGGAAATACCTCAAGAAATAGAAATATGGACCAAATATGTGGAAAATACATGGTTTCACTGACAAGTCCCTGAATATTTTAATTTTGTTTTTGTTTGTGTATTTACTTCTTTTTGCTGCAGTAACAAATCAATACAAATGTGGTGGTTTAAAACAACACAGATTGATTCTTTTACACCTCTGGAAGCTAGATGCCCAGAATCGCTTTCAGTGGGAAAGTCAAGATGTGAGCAAGGCTGTGTTTTCTGGCCTCAGTAGGGGACAATCCATCTCCTTGCCATGTGCATCCCTCGGCTTAGGACCTTCCCTCTCCGCGTCCCTGTCTTGCCCTCCTCTGTCCTCTGTTCTCCTCCGCCTCCTCCTGCAGGAACTGCTGTGATTCCACTCGGGATCCACCTGGATAATGCTGGACCATCTCCCCCTCCCAGGCCCTTTGACTTAGACATGTCTACAGGCCTTTATGTTATATCAAATAAGACTCACAAGTTCCCGGGACTGGAACATGTACAGTTTACTCCAGGGTCATTATTCAGCTAAGTATAATTTAAATTTTTTTTCACTTTTACTGTCATAGAAGTCCAAATATATGAATGAATAGTGAAACCTGATATTGTACTTTTGGAGTATTGGCTGGTGTTGTGTTAAGAATTTTTTTCTGAAAAAAAAAAAAAAAGAATTTTTTTCTGGTGACCGTCCTATGAGATGTAATAATTTGATTTCTTGAAATCTATCCTAAAAAACCAAGATAAAACATAAAAAAGATTTTATCCAGAGGTGCTTATAATTCTAGTCTAAAACAGTGGTGCTTATAATTTCTGTTTGTGATTTCAAATGATGAAAACAATGTAGATATTTA